GTAGTAAAATCATTAAAATCTGACCGGTAGTTCCTAAGATATATATGTCCAAAGTTAGTTAACTTTTATTTACTTTACTGTCCAGATTTTAATGATTTTACTACCATTAGAACCGGAAAGGCCTGATGAACAACTTTTATTAAGCTCAAATTAAGGATTTACTTAATAAAAATGTCTCTTCCGGAGCACTTTTTGAATTTTGGGGGGTGGCATTAACAAAAATGGGGGTGGCATTAACAAAAATGGGGGTGGCATTAACAATTCTCTTAATTAATTTTACATAGCCTAATATCTATAAATCATATTCTACAGTATATATTTTTATTTATCTAAAATGGGGCCGAGCTTTTGAGTAAATAAAAAAATTATACTAAAAAAAAGTTTTTTTTAGTGAGCTATTGGACGATTAACGTTAAAGGGATAAATTGCATGCATTATACTATTTTGTTTGACATTCACCCTAACCCTATCAGGAATGGTACGATACATAAATCGATCTTTTTTTTAAACTCATACGTACGAACATACACTATTATAATTAGTGTTCGTTACTATGCCATTGACACCCAATTTTTTATCTGCACGCCCATCGCTTTTAGATAATGTTTTGCTGAAATATTAGTGGTGTGCCAGCTGATTTTTGGTGCGCAGTTAATTAATTCAGATTCTAAATCATTATAAATTTTATTCATAGTATAAACACTAAAAACTAGATTACAAGATTATTAAAGACTTTAAAATATCTATGTTGCATACATATACGTAACGAGGTAACATCTGCCTGCGGTTATAATTAATAATCGTGATGTTTATTATGAAATCAGTGATGGCAACAACAATTTATTTTGTTAGCATGAGCGTAAATTGTACTTTTTTCATACTCCTTACCAGCAGTGCAACAGTATCAAAATTTCCTATTCTGCACCATAGCAAATAATTTGTTATGCGAATTAAACTTTTTTCCTTTCCCCAAAAAAAGTAAAATAAATAAAATTTATGATAAAACTATCGTTATATTATTTAATTAGGCTCCGAAGTACGATTCAGCTAAAGTTAACTTGATTTGGAGGTTTTCTGTTATCATCATTAAATCTTCACTCTTAAGAAGTTAAAATCTATAAGATGTATATTCGTACAGTTCTAGAATAAAATTTATATACAAAATTTTGCAATGTTTTCATCAGGTTGGCTCTAAAGTCACGGCAGTCTTTTTCAAGCTGGCTCTAAAACCATTGCTCAAACCATGGCCTAAGCTATTATATATAAAGTCACGGTTGCCATGATTTTTGAGCCAAACTAAACCAAGATCCTTAAAACCCATAAATAGCATAGGGAGAATCGAAAATCGATTATCTCAGATTCTAAGAATCGATATTAATCACGGTGTCATGTGAGAATTATAGCGCTTGGAAGATGTGACATAATGATGTTGTGATGATGAGATTCTAGATTGTCTTAATCATATTTTCGATTAGTCATTTTTTCAGTTCAAACATGGCAAAGCGTAATTTAGAACTTAAGAAATTTCCCCAGATCATCATCAATTATGAATCACGTCTTTTTTTGAGGTAATCATGAAAAGTTCTAAATTAGGAATTGAATTTACTTATTCGATTTTCAAAATGATTTTGACAGTGGGTGATAAATAATATCATGTGAAGGAATCTGCTCGTACCAAGATGATTTTACAAGCGACATTTGATTCTACATATGAATGCTGCCAGAGAGAAATGTGGTTTTGGGCTTTCTTTCAACTTTATCATATTATATACCGGATTTAGTCCTTTAAAAACCTGTTATTAACATACATGGTACGTAACACACATCATATATTAATTTATATTACCGATCAGATTTTTCATGAGCTGAATCTGATAAATAATAGATAATAAACTTGAAAGCAGTCTATTTTTCTCTTGGCAGCGCTCAAAATACACTCTGCTATACCAATCTTTTACGTGGCTAATTCTTTCAAAGATATCGGTGCAACTAACTCCGGTGACGATGCTTCGTCATCACGTACGTACGTACATACGTATTCGTACTACTGCAGATGGAGAGCAAATTTAACCAAATTTAGCGACTTTTTTTACGTAAACATTGCTTACGCACTACGTGTAACCAATTCAATTTTTTTTTTAATGCAGCACTATAAATATCTGGATCAAGTCAAGAAACCATACATTTAAGAATCCATCGATTTTTTTTTTTGTTTGTTAATAAGGTTTGTGAATTATGATTTTTCAATTTTTTCGAGGAAATAGTGTTGGGATTTGTAATGTTCGTAATAAATGTAATACTTTAAGTATTAACATATTTAATAATAACAATAATAATTATCATAAATTATTTTTACATCAACAACGCGATCATTTTTTTATCTATAATATTTTTTCTTCGAAAAAGTGAGTGTAAATTTACATTGATTATATTTGAGTTTAAAAAAATTCAATCGGAGTTTATCGATTTTGCCCATTCACGTTTCTCAGTCATTCGTTGGTAGCAAGAAACGGTAGGTAATTATTTTCATCATTATCCATGATATGCCTTAGTTTAAGCATTCAATGTAATGCAACGTTGAAAGCCATAAAGTCAACATTTTCAATTGGCATATCGTCGGGTAGTCACAACAGACACTATATGCTAAGCATTTTTCGCACTCTTCTGAATTTTTTATAATAAATTGTCAAAAAAGAATTGCTCCAAGCAACTCTTCAAAAAATGTCATATAAATTACCGAATTCAATCCCTGATTTTCCTACATATGGATTGCTTCCCAAGGAGGTACGATCTCCGATTTTCTTTTATACATATAAATATGTATTTGTTTTCTCCCAGTTAATTGGTATTATGAAAATAATAAAAGGAAACCGAAGCAGCATCATTTTTGAAAAAACATCCTGAACATGATGGTCGTGGTGTTACTATTGCAATATTAGACACCGGTGTTGATCCTGGTGCTGCTGGTTTACAGGTAACAAATATCATCCATTAAATATCGATTTATCTCAATTAAAATTTTCTAATCATTCGTGATTATAGACTACTACCGAAGGGAAGCCAAAGATTATCGATATCATTGATTGTACCGGTTCCGGTAAGACAAAACAAAAAAAAAATTTTTTTTATGTCTTTAAATGTTTTCTGATTTACCGGTTTATTTAAAATACTAAGGTGATGTAACGACAAAGGTTGTTGTAAAACCTGTTATCAAAGATGACGGAAATGAGACTTTACATACAATTCAAGGCTTAACTGGTCGTACTCTTATAATTGATCCAAAATGGAATAACCCTTCAGAAGAGTATCGTGTCGGTATTAAAAGATTATATGAGCTATTTCCACAAGATTTAGCTGATAGGCTTCGAAAGGTTAGTAAAAACAGATGTAATTTTTGTTTATTTTTTATTTAACTATTCTCTTTAAAACTAAAAAAAATCATATTTATATTTTTAGGAACGTAAACAAGATTTTGTAAAAGAACACTATCGGCTTCAAGCTGAAGCACAACATAATCTCTCTCTTTGGGAAGAATCTCATTCTACTTCTTCGAATCCATCAGAGCGTGATACTTCTACTAAAGCTGATCTTGAAGCAAGACTAGAAGTGCTAAAGGATTTGTTAAAAAATTATGATGATCCTGGTATAATTTTAGATGTGGTTGTATTCTTTGATGGAAGTGATTGGAGAGCTGTTATTGATGTTGATGAAAGTTGTGACTTGAGAGGTTGCATTCAAATATATTAAATTTAGTTATTTTTTTATATTCCTTTATATTATCAACAATATGTTAACTATTGAAATTATAGGCGCTCCACTTTTAACTGATTACCGAAAAGAACGACAATATCACACTTTCAGCAAGGAAGATTCAATGAACTTTTCAGTTAATATTTATGAGGAAGGAAATATTGTCAGGTGAATATTATTATTAATTATTAATTATGCGTTTCATTACATTTAAACATTAAAATCTTAATGTCAACTTATTTTCGTTATTATAAAGTATTGTTACTACATCTCATGATCACGGAACTCATGTCGCAGCTATTTCTGCTGCATATCATCCAGACGAGCCTATTCTTAACGGGGTATTCAATATTTAGAAATCAAATGTAAATTATTGTTAATTTATTATATGCTTTAAAAGAAAATATATGTATTATTTTTTTTGTTAATGTGATCGCTATAGGTTGCTCCAGGTGCACAAGTAAGAATTTGTTTATTGTACTTATATTTATGATAAAAATGTAAAACATTAATAATTATTATCATACCAAAATTTTATGTTTATAGATTGTTTCACTTAAAATTGGCGACACTCGATTAGATGGTATGGAAACTGGTGCTGGATTGGCAAGGGCTGCTATATCGCTCGTGGAAACTAAATGTGATCTTGCCAATATGAGCTTTGGTGAAGCATCAGCTGTGCCAAATTATGGTCACTTTACTAGTTTGATTCGCGATGAAGTTGTTGGAAAATATGGTTGTATTTTCATAAGTAGCGCTGGCAATAATGGTCCTGCTTTGAGCACAAATGGTGCACCCGGTGGTACTTCTAGTGGTATGTGAAATTTCTCTCCCGGTTATTTATTTTATGATCCTCATTATGATATGTAACTACGGTATTTTCATTAGATATTATTGGGGTTGGAGCCTATGTTAGTCATTCAATGATTCAAGCTGAATATGGGCTTCTTGAGTCAGTCCCTGAACGTGCGTACACTTGGTCTTCTCAAGGTCCTAACACTGATGGTGATATCGGTGTTACAATATACGCCCCCGGAGGGTAGTTTATTTTTTACACATTTTGATTAAAATCTTTGATTTATAAGATTCATAAATAATACTAACGTACTTTATTTGAACAGTGCCATTACGTCTACTCCACAATGTTCCTTAACAAAGTCTCAATTGATGAATGGGACCTCCATGTACTTATAAAACTTTACCAAATCTTATTGCAATTTATATGTTTACCATAGTCTTTGTTAATAACAAAACATTACTTATAGGTCTTCACCTAACGCAACTGGTTGTGTAGCATTACTTCTATCAGGTCTTAAGGCTGAAAATAAAGAGTATTCACCTTATAGAATTAAAAATGCTCTGGTTAATAGTTCCAAACAAATAAATGAAAATTTTAATGTTGGACTTATACAAGTTGAAAAGGCGTGGGAATATCTTGAAAAATTTTACGAAACTCCCGATCAGGACATTGTTTATGAAGTATGATAAACATATTACATCAACACATTTTATACAAAATTATTTTATAGAATGTCCAATCAAATTTAGTTAATAAATGCATAAATGTAATTTAAATCTAGGTTAAGATTTCAGGTTCACCAAGAGGTAAACGTGGTATATACTTGAGAGAAACATACGAAACTTCAAGTCCACAAACTATTAATGTTTCTATTAAGCCTAAATTTATGAAAGAATTGGATCCAACTTCTGGAGAAAATAATCAAAGGAAATATGAACTAGAAACCAGATTGGCTTTGGTTTGCACACAAACCTGGGTGCGTGCAACTGATTTTTTGTTTTTAGGAAGTAGAGGTATGTAGTATTATCTGTTTTCAATATTTTATTTTCATATTCATTTAACATTAAATATTATTTTATTATGTAGGCCGGGCATTTGATGTAAAAGTTGATCCGACTAATTTAACACCTGGTGGATTCTATTTTGCTGAAATTCAAGTAATTTCTTTGACGGTTTAATTTTGTATTAAATTTTTGGAGTGTTAACCATCTAATTTTTTCCGTCAGGGTTATGATACAACTTGTCCAGACAGGGGTCCTCTGTTCCGAGTACCAATCACCGTTATAAAACCAAGTATTTTAACTAATGGTTCTAAACTTTGCTTTGATAAATTGTCTTTTGGTCCTGGTCATATTGAAAGAAGATTCATTAAGGTTCCTGATGGTGCTACGTACGCAAGTACATATAATTTATATTTATACTTCTTTTTGTTGTAAAAATTTTTTGATATCCAAAATTACTCATGTTAAATTTTTTTTCCTATCGAAAGGTGTAACGCTTAAATCTGCTACACACAAAAGCACTTCACCAGCATCTTTCTGGCTACATATGGTACAATTGTTGCCACTAAGGCGATACACATTTCAAGAACGTGAATATTTCTTTTCTTTTGCTAAAGGAAGTTATGGTGATGGAACTGGTGAAGAACAAATTGAAAAAAAAAATTTTACTGTTTGTGGCGGTGCGACCATGGAGGTTTGTAGATTATAGATATGTTGATTTGAAGACAAATTATTATTTTATTTTTTGATTATTTTTTATTTTTTTTTTTGAAAAAAAAAAGATTTGCTTGGCTCAATATTGGTCTAGCATTGGAAATCACGATGTATCATTAGAGTTCATTTTCCATGGCATTCAAATTGCAAACAATGCCATAAGTGGAAGTAAAACCGTTTTTATCAATGGTGGAGCTCCATTTACTCGTTTGGATATTACCGCACCTATTAGACGAGAAGAGGGAATTAACCCTTCTGTTCAGCTTGGTAAGAATTTTATTCAATATTAATATTAATGTGCTAGCGAAAATAACCATAAAATATTTATTTTAAAAGATGTCATCCGTAAGGAAATTCGACCAACGGAATCAAGCTTAAAACCACTTTGCATAGATCGCGATGTTCTTCCAAATTCTCGAAGAATAAATGCTCTAACATTAACATATAAATTTTCTACGCCCGAAAAGAATTTGTCCCTTACACCAAGATTCCCAGCATTCTTTGATTTGTTGTATGACTCTTATTTCGAAGACTTCTTTGCAATACGTATGTTCTTTTTGATACGAAAATTATTTTTAAAATGTGATATCGATGTTAAATCAATTTGTTTACTAATTGTAATTGAATTTCTGTTGTATTCATGTAGTATATGATGCCAATAAAAAGGTTATCGGCCATCTAGATATTTACGCCAAGACCTTTAAACTAGAGTATAAAGGGGATTATATTATTCGTGCACAAGTTCGCCATCATTCACAAGAATTATTAGAAAAGTTGAATAACACAATATGCTTTTTGGATTATAATTTATCCAAAAAAGTTAATTTGGATATATATGGTCAAATACATGACGTTTTCACGGCTGAAAAATCTACAGGCGTAAAAAGTTATTTGGAAAAAGGAGAAAGGCAGGCAGTATTTATCGGAACACCGAATGATTACTCTGTTTATCCAAAGGATAGTAAACCTGGCGATTTATTACTGGGACGTTTAAGTTTTGTAAACTCTTTGAAGATTGATGGTGGACAATATTCAGCCAGTTTGTTGATTCCACCGCCCCCTGCTAAAAAAGATTCTACCAATGGAGGCGAAGATGGGAAAGGCCCGGCACCTACTAGTGATTCCGGACCATCCGAGTCTACTGATAAATTAGAAAAAAAGGATGAAAAGATTAATGAAGAACTTTTGGAAGCAATTCGAGATTTACAAATTTCTTATTTAAAAAAGTTTCCTGCGGAATCAACAGCAAGAGAAGATTTGTTTTCAGACTTGAAAGATCGTTATCCGTCCCACTTACCAATTTCCCAAACTAAATTAGAATTACTCCTTGATGTAGCTAGCGGTGAAAAAGAAAATATGACACCTGAAACAGCGAAAAAAATCTTGGAAGTTTCAGAAGAAATATTAGAAAAGATTGATTTAACAGAATTAGCACAATATTATGGGGTTAAACAAGAAGCAAATCTTAATGAAGCCGCTAAAAAGAAGAAAAAGGAGAATGATGATAAAAAGAAAGTCGTTATATTGGCTTTAGGAGCTAAAATTCAAGCTTTAGCTGCTCTTGCATCAATTAGTTCATCAAGTGATAATTTATCGACGCAATTGGAAGAAACTTGGAAGCAACTTGCTCAATGGCTAGATGCTGTACCACCTATATCAGATCTTAAACAACTACTAATTTATATTATACGTGAAAGACGAGAGAAACGATATGGAAACGCTCTTAAGGCGCTTGGAAAATGGTTTGGAGAAACTGGGTTAGGCAATGATAATACTAAAGATTACGAAAAGGCTTTGGGATTGAAGATTGAATTGTTGAAAGAACTTGAATGGAAAGATTGGGAAAAGTATGAAAAAAAATGGAAGATCATTAGGAATCCACCCGGTGGTTATGCACCTTTTTAAGATAGCAATAACTTTTTAAAGATTACTTTTAAAGATTATTTTTAAAGATTATTTTTAAAGATTATTTTTAAAGAGTTTAGAGCTTAATATAGATAATTTAAACTTACCGTTGATTTATTTAGACATCATTTTTTATTTTCTTATGATGCCAAAACTGTCATTCGTAAATTTCAGTTGAATAAAGATTTTAAATTATTTTCAATAATTTATTGATCGTCTTAATCACGTTTAATTTGGGTATTATAAAAGCATAAAATCAATTATATTTTTGTATTTTTAATAATTCTAAAGACCGATAATACAATAAAAAGCATTACAACAATTAAATATAAAACTCTTAAAATAGCTTTGTTGATTTCGCCTGTAATTAATAACTCTATTTGAAAGTAACTTTTGCCTATATCCTTAGGAACATCAGGACAAATATTTGCAAGGTGAGCTTCCATCTCTGCAGTACGTCCACAATAATGGCAAGTTGCACTACCGTCATTAGTAACATTATTTGTTTTGTTATATAATAATCCCAGCATTTTTTCGTTTTAGTGTTCTCTAAACACGTGTCGCTTTGAGATAGTTGGGACGAGCCTTGACAAAAATATTGCCATAAAGGTTTATATACAAGATCCCCCAAAATAGTAGGCTCACCATGAATTAAATCCGGGTGTAAACCACAAAATCCTTATTAATTTTTTTCAAATACAGTCAGACCTCTCTATAGCCACCTCCTATATAAGCACATTTCTTTATATCTATATTTTTTAAAAAACAAACTATATATTATTAAATTAAATATATATAATATAATATATTTGCCCTCTATAACTGTCACACTTCTCTACAATCACGCGTTTTTGTATCCCAAGTGTGTGATTATAGAGAGGTTTGACTGTAGTTTGAATGCCATTATAAATACAAAGTGTGTATGCACTTTAAATTTTTTCTTTTCATGATGTAATCTCCGGGCGAGTACTAGACCCTGGGTCTACTAAAGGGTTTAAAAATTGGTAGAATGAAACAGCTCGGGTCTTGTATATGATATGGTAAAACCATTTATCCGTGCCATCTGTTGTAAATCTCGCATTTTAGTGGAGAAAATCTCACATCCCCATCACTTCATTATAACGAGAGTGAATTGTATTAATGCAAACATTCGTGGCAGTGAACGGTAAATTTATGCGAACATTCCGATAAGATAAAGTAACTTATAGCGAGAAATTTGCACTTAGAGACTTCTTCACTAATTGCTAAATAATCAAGTGTCTGGATATCTGTTTAAAGAAACTTGAATGTAACAAGTAAAAATAATAATCTAAATTTTTCGAAAATATTCCTAAATTGTTTAACATTATCATCAATCCATTAATTCACATTATTTATGAAATAATATAATATTTTATTGTAAATTACAGATACGTCTTACATACCTATTACTGAGCTAATACTAATATCAAAGTTACTTTAATAATTTATTTAAATTCATTTTAAAATCAATAAAATTTAATTGTCTAACAAATCTTTCAAAATCATAGCACCGTTACTAGGTTTAGTCACAAAAATAGCATCATTCAATTCACTCTTACTCAAATTTGGAAATTTAGGATTATAATAATTAGTAACTACATGTTGAATAAATTTTTCAATATTGTCTTCACTGACAAGAGAAACTGTGCAACCTATATATTTTAGAAATACGTTAATTAATAGATTTATAAAATATATATATTTCTAAAAAAAACTTACCACCCCAACCTGCACCCGTGAGTCTACTTCCAAAAGCACCACCACCCAAACAAATTTTCACTAAATCATTTAATTCATCACAAGAACAATCAAATAATTCTTTACAACTTTGATGGCTCTGATTCATTAAATTACCTAAACTTTCAAATACCTTAACATCATTCATGCTACTACTACCAGAGGTAGAAACCTCATAAAATTTTAAAACTCTACAAGATTCCTCAAAAACGTGTTTTGAACGTTTATACAAATGAAACCTTTCAGCACGAACAGGAAATTTTGATATGAACTTATCATAAATTTCAGTTGAGGATAATTTTAACATAATTGATAATTCCTCTAAAGTGTAACCTTCTTGATTCTTTTTGTAAACTTGATCAACGTAATCAGAAAGTTTTTCTAAATTATCGATTGTTACCTTTGTAGAATTTGAATATAAATCACAAACATGTTTTAAATTTTCACAATCCTTTCCGAATAATAATTGACCTAAATGATAAGCAGCAAGTTTAGTCTCCACAACACGAAGATTGTAATGAATTGGAGCAGTAATAACTTTGTCAGCCTTAACAAGAGAATTAGCCACAACGAATGTGATTGGTGGATTGGTTGTTGGTAATTTTGTTGGAGTGGCACTAAGTGTTGGCAAAAATTCAACATAGAGTGCGTGTCCGGGCTGTGAAAATATTGAGGCAGTCTGATCCATTCTTTTTTTTTAAAAAAAAAATCAATAAGTTAGATAGGTTAGATAGAAATGCTTTTTTATTACGATAGGATAAAGGACCTACCCTCCAGAGTTCATTCCAGAGAACCTTTCACATTCAATAGATATCTCAGTAATTTGTTTTTTTGTTAATTTTACATTATTAGCATGACTTGTCGCCAAAGCAGCACAACAAACAAATGATGAAGAACTAGATAATCCAGCGCCTATTGGTACAATTCCATCCACTAGACAATCCATTCCAACAGGATTGTCAATTCCAAGATGTTGAAGGATACCCTGCAATAATAATAATAAAATAAAGAATTGTAAAATTTTTAATTAACATCATTAATCTATTTGAGGAAACCCCAAAATCTGGCTTTCAATTATACTTTGTGTCTAAACTTTTAATCGTGACAACTACCACACCAAATTCAATGAAGTTTTTTTTATTCGAATTCTACATATCTGTAGAATTCTAAGAATTCTAGTAAAAAAATTTCATCGAATTTAGTGTAGTAGTTGCCAAGATAATACGATTAAAAGTTTAGACACAAGTATAATTGAAAGCCAGATTTTGGGGTTTCCCTTGACGGCACTCATTTATAAAAAAAATTAAATAATTTACCTTATAACCACATTTGAAATAATTACTCCATTCAGATACACCTTCTTCAACAATAATTTCTACAATTTTGTCTTTTCCTTCAAAATCCCAACACTTTTGCTTATATTTATCATCAATATTGGATAATCTAACGTTTGTATAACCTTTTTTATTTGAAAAATTAACAGCAATAATTACATCATTGCTAATAGCCATTGGTAAGACACCAAAGCCTGCATAGTCGATGTGTTCTCCAATAAGATTAACTCGACCTGGTGCTCGAGCAATAAAATCTGGTGGATTATTATATAAAGATATAAAATTTTCAATTAAAGTTTTGCAACGCTTTAATAAAGCGGGTTGGTCGATAGAGTTAAGAGAAAGCATTGGAACGAATTCATTTGATTCAGCCATGATTAAAGAAATAAAGTAGTTTGTAAACTTGAATCAATTTATATAACAGTTATACAATTGCTAGCGCTAGAAAACCATTTTACGTTAATCAATTTTCATTATCGTTATATAGTCGAAATTGAAAATGGTTAGATTTGATTTTCCAATCAGATCTGTGTTAATGCAGTACATAAATAGTACGCTTTCCCCTTTCACAATTTCCAATTAGCACCAATAACAATTCTGGTTTAAAAGAAAAATTTTTGGTTCATAGTTTCTCCTGACCTACCACTGATCACAACCTTATATTCACTGATTCCTTGAGAAAAAAAAATGTATACAAGAAATTATAATTGTTAGACGAAACCTCGAGGTTTCGCGCTGACGAAATGCGAAACCTAGTTTCGTCTTTCGTCGAAAATGACGAAAAGACGAAACTGTAAAGCGTGACAAAACTAATATACAAATAAGTGTTGTTGAAAATCATTGAAGATTATGTGTATAAAAAAATAAACTAACAAAGAAATTTTGTTGTATAATAAGCGCTTGAATTGTTTAAAGGGAGTCGGAAATAGGTATTCTATATTGTATAGTACACTATTAGGTGAGAAATCGCTTGGTGATCATACAACTTTATTTTGTGCCAGCATGTTTTAATTCATTATTTGTGTTACTATGGCTTTTTGGCAAGGTTATTTCAACCGGTCTATAACAACCTTAGTGTTGTCTAGAACAAATGAACTGGTTTATTTTTGCTGGCATACACGTAATTACGGGCACTGATCTCTGGATAAATTATGAATGTCAATAACAGTTTTTTCTTTGGCGAGTGCATTAGGGCTGCGTCTTTTTGAGCGTAAGGTTTCATATTTCATCAAAAGAATTTGGGGTTTTGACTTTCGTCAGAGGTTTCGTCTTTTGGGGGTTTAGGTTTCGTCTTTCGTAATCATGCAAAAACGGTTTCGTCTAACAACTATACAAGAAATAATCGTAGCCGCTATATCAAAAATCATCCAAGTAAAAATACATAGCATCCAAAAAAAATTTTCATTAACCCGAATCCTCATTTTTAACTTCTAACATTAGCCTAATATAAATACAAAATACGTATAAAAAACATAAATTTTATTGAACACCATTTATAATTTTGTTATATTCAAATAAATCATATACGAGCATTTTATATATTGCAAATATAATCTATCGTTCAATTTCAGGTCTACTATAAACAAACTAATAAAACATTTTTGAGTATACGCTTACCTTTATTTGGTACGAGTGATTAACGTAGAAAGCATTGTTAAGATAAACGTGTCATAATAATTTGTCATTAAAATTCATTTCTACTTATTGCATTAAAGAAAAGCAAGAATTATAGATGAGCATTTATAATATGGAAATGGACAATCTACGATTACCTGTTGTAAAAATAAAATAGTTGAATTCGATGATGTCACGGGCTAAAAGGTAGATCGACAAATCGGCGCAGCAAACTCATGACTTTAAGCAGATTGATCATCGGATCGACTAGTGCATGAGGCTTACCGGCTAAAT